TGTTTTGCGCGCTGCGAAATTTTATAATGGTTTTCAAATCGGACAAATTTTAGCTTGAATTTTTTACAAAAATCCAGAACTACCTGCAGTGGTAGCGAAAAATTATTCAGTTTTGCATTCATATGTTAGACGTTCGTATTTTAGGAGAGTAGACCAGCTTGCTGTTTGGAGGCGGACGTCCAGAAGAAAAAAGAAGCAAAGTTGAAGTTTCTTCTGATCTTAGAAAGGACTGCAGGGAATTTCACTTTCAAGCACAATTAAGACCGCACTTGAAAGTAGAATATCCCAGTGGAGTTTCAGCCTCGCGCATTTTTCGGTAAGCGAAGCATCCACTTCGCTAAAAATATCTCTGAAGTGTTCTAAGTCGTGACGCAAGTAAAAATTGGTACTCATTTTAGGTACACAATTTCCCATATGGCGATAAACATGCCCACAAATTCCGGCCACTACTTTCCGGCAAGTTTTCGAGTTAGCACAGTACCAAGTTGCAAACTTTGACGTGATCGTATGCGTTGCACACGCGTGCGCGACAGCCGAATTTCAAACCTTTAGTTCGCACATGCACAGAGAATATCTCTGCAAAAGTTTTAGCTTTGTACCTTGCCTAGTTCGCGAAATCGTTTCCCGCCAAAAAAACTTGCATTTCTTTGGTGGGTCCGTACGCGGCAGTCTAGGCGTATATGAGCGAAAATTTTAAAAGGGACGATGACACACGGAGTAGGAAGATATACTCAAAATTTCTGCCTCCCAGCTTTCTTGGTTGCTGAGATGAAAGTGGGTGACGAAGTTCACTCACTTCTGAGCACACACACACACACGCGCAAGACGACCTCTCGACAATAGGTGTTTTTGCTTGCTGTATGACGCTGCTCAGCAAAAACGCATAATGAAAGATCATAAGTTCTGAGATCATAAATCAATATGGGGATGAAAACGGAGCATATGTGCTTCAGCAGGATAGAATATGGGACACAGAGTTGGCACCATCATGTTGTTATTTCCCGAGCCTATCTTTATGCTGAAAGTGGGTGGCGACTAATTTGCTCCTCAAATTTTGATGGTCCCTGAGAAGGGGGTTAATCTCTATAAGTATATCCACGCACAGCCGCCCAAATATTCTTACAGTTGCTGTATGCTGGATCTATTTATGGTGATGTAGCTAGTCAATTGCTTTTCGAAAATTTCAAAGCGCCTGACCGATATTTTCTCCTTATCTTTTTTTTGGCTCGTCTTTCCTTCATTCCCGAGAACTTATGGTACCTGGGCATGATTTAGCGTATTTCGATATAGACCGCCATATTTTGGATAAGGTTACCTCCGCCTTTCAGCCCGCTTTAGCTCCAGTTTCAACTTATGTGCCATGGAATTTTAGAGATATAAGCAGTGAACATCACCTTACTACTACGATTTCTGCACGCCGTCTAGAGAGACACGCATTTCTAAATTGTGCGCTGCGTCATTTTGAAATACCAGGGAAGTGCAACACGCGCTTCAGCTTGTTAAAGCTCACTGCGCTCATCACGTTTGCTGCTGATATCAATTATTTTAGTTTGAGTTCACAGCACTGAATACAGTGGATGACCCGATTCAGCGGCACCGTTGAGCAATAACTGGATAACTTGCGAAGAGTCACAATCGCAATCCGGATAAATGGCAGGCGATCAGTTCGTTCATGACTTTGCGACACACCAGATGCTGCAATCCAAGACCCCTGATTTGGCCAGAACGACAGAACACTTCGCATTGCGGCGCACTGCAACATTTGCTTTTGGTTTATATTACAGTAACAAACATGAGGTGAAGGTATGCAAAAACAACATCGAAGTACGGTGGTATTCTTGTAACGGTCTCTTATCGTTACTAAAGCATAAGATAGCAGGCAATCTGTATATGGGTTGAGTTCTGATTATCTAGGACTGCCTAAACAATTCAGGATTACAGTTCAGCTGTGTGATTCACATTCCCAAAATGCCACCTTTCGTCTCCCTATACTGTGTGGTTTTAACGGCCAGACAAACATTCGTACTATTATTATTGCTCGAGCAGTCCATGCTACAACTCTCCTGCATTTTTTTTTTCAAAATGCTATTGCATAACGGGAAGTTTTGTCAATTCATCTAAAGGTGGCCTCCGTTTTCAGAAAGAATGAAATCATTTTTCTTGCTATACACTCGTTGTAAAGCTAAGCAAAAGTTGTGGCATTAGCTTGTAGTTCCATGAATTGGTCAGCCCAGTTGGGCACTTAAATTATTTGCTTGCAAGATGTTATGTCAAAGCCAACTGGAAGAAGAAAAAATGAAGGCAAGAAGACTGACGGGGTTGAGTTGGTCAGAAAAAGTTGAAATTACACGTTTCAGCTCATTAAGCTGCTAACTTCTTAGCTTGGCACCATCACTGAACCTTGTCAGCATGACGGTTGCACTTAAAAGGCGCAGGTGGGCGAAACACGAAAAGATAAAGGCGGAGAAAGGATGAAGCTTAAGTTGCGCACTGCAGTGTTTTAGATCCGAGAGTGATTGGACACTATGAGCTCAGTAATAGGCGTTCGTCTATTAGAGCTTTCGGGTAGCCCCAAAGCCAAGCTCTTCCGGTTGCCTTCAAGTGATACCTTTGATTCGTTTTCAAAACAAACCTTTTCGCTGAAATTTGCTTATACCTGCAGCACTCAGTGTTATCATGCGCATCAGAGGCGCACTCAACAATCGGTGCCACGTGCAATATGCCGCACTGGCCAGCATCCAGCGCTGTTTTTATCTGGAAATTAAAAATTTTCTCATTTTTTGCCTTCGAAACTCATTCCATTGCTTAACAAAAGAGGTAAATTCCTGCGTGTAAATTCGTGCATTTATTTAGCTCATTCATTCTGCATCGTGTTTTGCGGTTTGTG